AGGGAAAATCTGAATTGTCAAAAGGCAGTGCATTATTAAAATACACATGCAGTGAAAACTGCACAGAACTCTAGATGGATTGCTGTGTCAGCAAGAAGAGGCAAGCTTTTCTAATTTCTAACTCATCACTTCAAGTAAAGTCAATTTTCTGGTTTTCAGCTAGTAAATATGTTTTATATTCAAAACCAGAAATACAGTCCCTTCAGATATGAATGAACTCTAAAATGAAAATTAACATGTAGTTAGTAACTGTAAGATCACAAAAAATGTTAAGTATCAGGAAATAGGAAACCATCAATAATGAAATGAATGAAAATACATATATAATCATAGAATAATATATTATACTCAAAACAAGGCAGGACAAAACCAATCAGTATGCGTATACCTTTTCCAAAGCACATCACCCTGAGGCATGAAGCGTATTGCAAAGAATTTTGCAAGAGAAAAAGAGCTGTGGAAATATCTCTTCATTCCATTCAGGGCAAAACAAAACTACAGTTTTTCCAGCATGACTACCAGGCTGGAGCATGAGAACAGACCATCTTTAGCCACTGTAGCTGTGCCAGCATGCCCTGCCTCCCTGCAGACATCCCTAACAGCTATGCCCGCTCCCTCAGACAGCAAGAACGTCATTTCCCTGGTTTAGCTGTATGGAAATTGCTAATGTGACTTGAAGGCAGTGTGAGATCTTTTTCCAGTTTGTCAGGACGTACTTGTCTTCATCTACTAAACACAGATTAGAAACATGATGCACAGAGACTCCATACACAGCAGGTGCTAGTTCCAAACTAGACTGCAACTACTACTGGACCGCCAAAGTTTCTGGCACAAAACCCCATTTTCTAACATCTCACCAGTTTGCACCACTGCAGGAGGAACTAGTAAGAGAGCACTGCACTCCAAAATCCCCATTTCATAAGTAGTTTTTAATTAAAAAAAAGCAAACCTGTGCAATGGTAGCAATGAGAAATAACTGGTCATGGTTTCAGATGCTTGCAGCTATCAAGTTCCATATTATTTCTAGACCTGGTTTTGACTGGGCCACATGGAAGATGAGACTGAAGAGCCATAAGTAAACATAAGGGCTGAAGAACATCCCAGAGAAAGGAGATAACTTTCTCCTCTGAGTGCACAATGCTATAATAGGACAATACCAATTGGCTCTACTGCTAAGATCCACCCATTTGTGCAAAACTCTGAAACTATTTCAAGGAATTAAGTTTACTTTAAATATAAGCTGATTTGGAACAAACCATGATCACTGGGGCTATCACGTCCTGTGATACTGTCAAAAAGAAGGCATCTGTGAAATGCCTACACCTGATAAGGTCACTAAACTGAAACTTTATCTAGGCATAATTAGACAAATTAATACACAGAATGCCTGATATCTTACAATTCCATGTTATTACTATACCAGACAGAGCATTTACATTACAAATGACATCCAAACTGGAACAAAAGTACGTATGCTCAAAACAAAGGTCTGGCAGTCAAAGAGAAATGAGTATTCTTGAGATTTCCTCACATGCAACAAACCAAAAATTGAAGAAATTCCCCTCCAACCTACCCAATTTACAGGGTAGCAACTTTTGAGTGGTCCACTACTTAACAAAAATCACTAAGTGCTCAGGACACCAGCCTCAAAATCCAAAGCTGGACAAAATCCAGGCAGCTTGTTTCCTCCTAATTATCAGACAGGTGGCCTTCAGTTCATTAGGCAGGGACTGCCTGAATCAGGCTTGGGAGCACTGCCAAGACAGTTTCAAGATCAGCTCCTCCTGAGGGACAGCTATCTGCGCTTGCTTTCAGCGTATAAACTGAAATTCTCCACAGACTGCCTGATGGTCATGAACCATACTAAATACCACGTTTGTGCTCAGCTACACAGCTTAATGGCAAAACCTTTTGCCAGCGTTGGAAGACCTTGCTTAGCCCACACTACACGCTTGCAAGAAATCAAACACATAATCAACTTTTCTACAGTATTTTCTCTCTTTCATCTGCTACCAATGATATTTATTAGCCAAACTTCAAGATATTCGCTCCAGCATTTCTAAATAACACGAAGTGCCTAATATAACATGTAGCATCTTGAATGAGGTCTGTGCCAATAGTGAGTCACAGAACCTCCCAAGGATTCTCCATTCAAAAGTCCACATGGGTTTTATTCAGATTTCACACTGAAGCAGCTCAAGATTGTACTAAACACTACGAAAGCCCATTTGAAGAAACACAATGGCCCACACAAGACATTTTTAGATAACTTTATCCCAGTTGAGCTACTCATGTGTGGACACTTTTGCACAAGTTCCTTAATATTATTTGGTAAACAACAGTGATAATCATGATGTGTTGGACCACAGTACCTTCCTGTACTCCAGAGGCCAAAGCACTCTGCATCACAGCTTGCACACTCATCGCTGGGTCAAAGATTTCCCTGAAATCACAGGAGTTTGAATCACTAAATAGGCTTCTCCACTGAAACGGGATGTTTGAACTTCACCACAAGTAGCTGAGAAGACTTCTCTATTTTTAAATAGGGAACCAGAAAGGGGCTTTAACAGAATTTCCCTAAGGACTTACATAGTGCTTAGTCCTCTTTCAAGTCCTACTTCAGTTCTTTCCATAATTGTGTAGTTTGTCAAGATGGAGCTAAAAAAACAACCAGGCTTCTGGCTGATGGTAGGACACTTCTGCTTGGCTTCATCTATCTGGCTAGCAAAAACCAGCACAAACACACACCACAGTGTCCAGGACAACGCAGGTAGCTACCAAACAATAAAATAATTACAAAAGTAAGATCCACTAGAAGAGTTTGCTAGTATACACCATGTACTACACTACTTACTCTATAAGCTTTCCCAGTATAGCACATGGAGTAGCATAACATACAGCTAAATACTATATTCTGATGCTGACTTGTATAACCTTCTGTTCCCATTCCCATATATGAGTCCAAGCAGTTCCAATGCTACAGTGTGTAATTTGGGACATATCTGAAATACACATAATTTGACGAAGTCTGAGCAGACACAGAGCTCTTTCCACACATTTCAACTTTATATTTGCTAATACTAGAGGATAAAAACAGAGTTGTACTACATTTCACTCTTTCACCCATATTTAGTACTTCATAGCCATCAACTATGGATTTTTCCCTACTGGAAAGTCAGCATACATTATTTTCCCACTACAAAATTCATCTCTTACATTGCAAGTGAGCAAATATAAACTGCAGCTATTAAAAAACATTCTGATCATTTGTTTCTAATCTGTTTGCCTATTTTGTATCTGCTTTATACAATCAAATTCAATATTATTTTACATCAAAGTATTTTTTTTCAGGTTTCTAAATATATTTCAACTACTAAGCAGCTCTGAAACATGATTTGATACAAACATTTTAAAAAGTGAAGCTACAACTGTTCATCTCCACAGACTACATCCCTAGATGTACATATTTGCTTTTTTAAACTAGTAACATAGTAGTACAGTTTAAGGAAGCTATATACAACACAGTAAAACACTATAGCAGCTTATTTTTACCCAAAATGTATTATCTGTCCGGTCTGGAGGTGTTTGTAATTTATACTGTGTATCATGTCCGGCTTCATATAATAGAGCCAAAACCAATAAAATAGTTGCTGTTGATTTTTACTAAACTATGTAAATTTCATCAATAAACTATTTAGATGAGTTCTAATACATTTGAAGACACAACAGCATACTAAGGCACTTCTTGAAAAACTAATGTAGCCAAATTTTTCGAACTTGATAGCAAAATTACATATATTGAATACCTTAAAGAGGAAACAGAAATAAACATTCAAATTAATTGATTATGCATTAATATCTTTTAATCTCTCCTTTGGTTTGTCCACCCATGTCTTGCCCTCAATCTTGCAAAATATCTGAATTAAAAGGAGGTATTAGTTTTTGTTGTTAAATGGAACATGTGTATTTGGAGATTATTAAAAATAATTATTTTTAATGATGGATTAAATATGAAAGATATGTGCATAAAGACACCACTGAATTTACAAACATAGTAGAGTAGAACATGAAACTATTAATAAAACAGAACAAAAAAAATAGAAAAGAGGAGAAAAATACAAGTAGAGAAAAATGCCAGAAAAGGAAGTACTCAAATCTTGCAGTTACGAGAAGACTTTGAAGGTGAGATGGAAGAATCAGTCAGACATAGGTGGGTAGAAAAAAAACAAGGGTTATTTGAAAAAACAACAAAAAAAGAAATGCTAAAATCACAGAAGTAAATAAGTGTATTGAGTTTGCACAGCAAGCTTCTGGTAGCAGGGGGGCTGCAAGGGTGGCTTCTGTGAGAAGCTTATGAAGCTTCCCCTGTGTCCGACAGAGCCAAGGCCACACCGTTCCAAGCTGGACACGCTGCTGGCCAAGGCCAAGCCAATCGGCAACAGTGGTAGGGCCTCTCTGAGAACATACCTAAGAAGAAGAAAAAAACCTGCTGCGGAAACAGCAGTGGAAAGAAGAGTGAGATGTGAGAGAAACAACTCTGCAGACACTGAGGTCAGTGAAGAAGGAGGGGCAGGAGATGCTCCAGGCGCCAGAGCAGAGATTATCCTGCAGCCCGTGGTGAAGACCATGGTGAGGCAGGCTGTCCCCCTGCAGCCCATGGAGGTTAACAGGAGCAGATATCCCCCTGCAGTCCTTGGAGGACCCCACGCTGCAGCAGATAGATGCATCTGAAAGAGGTTATGACCCCATGGAGAGCCCGTGCTGGAGCAGGCTCCTGACAGGATTTGTGATCCTGTGGAGAGAGGAGTCTACGCTGGAGCAGGTTTGCAGGCAGGACTTGTGACCTTGCAGGGGATTCATGCTGCACCAGTCTGTTCCTGAAGGACTGCACCCTATGGAAAGGGCATGTGGAAAGGACCCACGCTGCAGCAGTTTGTGAAGAACTGCAGCCCATAGGAAGGACCCATGTTGGAGAAGTTCATGGAGGACTGTTTTGTGGGAGGGACCCCATGCTAGAGCAAGGGAAAAGTGTGAGGAAGAAGGAGCAGTAGAGACAACACGCGATGAACTGACCACAATCCCCATTCCTTGTCCCCCTGCACTGCATATGAGGAGGAGGCAGAGAAATTTGGAGTGAATTTGAGCCCAGGAAGAAGGGAGAGCGATCTCTCCTTGTCCTTGTCTCGACCTGCAAGTCTTTAATTACATTTTCTCTTCCCCTGTCCAATTGAGAAGGGAGAGTGATAGAGTGGTTCGGTGGGCACCTGGTATCCAGCCAAGATCAACCCACCATAATAAGATAAGGACATACAGAAGGGGAAGATGTGAAAGACACTCTTCTCCAAAGCACACTACCTAACATACTGGAGGAGGAAGGAGAGTGCCTATGCTGTGTAAAGAAGCACTTGGAAAAGCAGGAGTAGAACAAAAAAAGCATAAGAAACACAGAATTCAAGAGGGGAAAATAAACAGCAGAACTCAGGTCTGCCAGCAGCTCACCAGGTGAACAGCCAAGCACCACTCTGATTTAACCGGACTGGAACAAGCAGAGGGTAGAGGAGAGGGACTAGTGTTACAGATCTGCAAAGAGTTACAAAGGCTAATGAACAAAAAGAAGGTGGCTATTTTATGGAACCACATATTTATGGCTAGTTTATATGCTGGTGTTTTAAAGACTAACACAAGATCTTGATAGCTGAAGGAAGGATCTAGTAGGGGAAAGAAAATGGTTAGGAGTGACACACAAAGAAAATAACCACTGACGACATGACATGTAGAGATAGAAAAGGATTCAAGAAAATAGGAAAAATGTAGATTAAGTAAGAGAAGGTGACTTCCACCCAAAGACTCACGCAAGGAGTGACAGTAGGGAGGTTAGGGACAAAGCCAAAACTATTTGCTCTGACAACCTTGTCTCTGTGTCCTGCCAGCGGACTGAACTGATTCGACCAAGACAGGGTGAAAAACTTGTCAATAGCAGTATGATCGATCACCCTGAAAAATGAGCAAGGTACAGATAATACTAATTCTAGAACACTCCTAGGAACCTTTGAAATTATGTCTAATTAAGTCATAATTAGAAGACTTCCTCAGAAGCACATGTTAAAACTGGTGTTCCCACGTACGGGGTAGACTTAGTTTGGGTGGCTAAGGGAATGCAAAATTCAATCTCAACAAGCTTCACAGAAAACCCTGCATCCAAATGGGATTCAGAATAGCAAGCTGAGGATAGGCACCTAAAAAAAAAAGAGGAGGAGTCATCCTTTTAAAAGAATGGTTGCTATAGCAAATCTACCTTTGCTTTTCACAGCTATGGGACCAAGGGAAGGAAGCTTCAACCCATCTTTCCCCGATTTCCAGAAGTGCCCTACAATCTGCATTTAAAAAAATACTCTGTAATGAGATGCTCTTTATTCCTCCTGGGCCTCAGCTGTTAGGCAAAATGAAATGCAGTAATAAACTAAAGGAGCCTCTCTCCTGGAATTTTAGCATGCTGATTTTAGATATGTTGGCTTTGGTTGAATGGGTAAGTCATGCTTACTTAATCCTCTATATAAGAAATATGATAAACCAAATCTACTAAACAGGTTCCAGATACAACAGGAAGACAGGTAGACAAAAAACATTATGGAAAACATTTCTGCCAAGTATTGAAAAGGTTGATTTTGAACATCTGGTTTCTCAACAATTCCAGAAAATCCGTTTAAGACTTTTTGCTGACAGGATTCTCTTTAGATAGCCAAAGGAAGTTTAGAAGACAAACCATAACTAGGAAATAATATATGCTGTTTTTCTTGTACATAGTCAAAACATAAATTGTTGTTATGAAATAATACTGGTACTACATACTAAGGTAAGAAAGCAAGCACCCAACATAGCAATCACTACATGCTAACCTACAACTGTAATGGTGCAGGCAACTATAACAAACTAAAAGATGCACTACAAATACTACCCTTCCAAGAACTGAGACTGTAATCACCCTGAGAACACAGATTACCACACTTATATTCCCTAATAGTAGAAGTTATTCAGAACTGTGTAATGATGTACCTCACAGAAGAAGAAAGAAGGCATCAAAGTCCCACAGAACTAGTTAATCTTTTTTTTAAAAGAAAAAAACCACCCCTAAACCTCCAGTCATTCAGCTAACAAGCTGTCACTACTTGGAACTACTATTTCTCAGAAAGTCCTTAGCAAAAGGTAAATGCAGACAGTGTACTTCCATGACTGAAAAAAGATATGCATCTTTATTCCCAGCTTTCTAAACGCCCTCCACATCTCCCACACATACACATTTCGTACCATTATGAACTAAATACTACTGTATTCAAGAGACTAAAAGGATGAACACACAACCTAATGTGCATCTAGCTTTATCCTGAATACTGTAAAACCAGTTTTATTTCTTCTATGTTTTGCTCCTTCCTGGTTTATACTATTCTAAGAAGAATCAGAGAGACTGGATGAGGTGTTTAACAACACACTCCAAGTAGTGTTAATTTCTTATGCTGGTCACCACCACTTAACTCAGTTTTCCGTTACCTGCACATTGCACTTGAAGAGAAGCTGCCTAAAGATGAACCCAGGAAAACTGACATGATGTATGCAGGAGAAGATCCCCGCTGAACAGCTGGCAATGTGACCTCAAACAGCCTCAGACTGTCCAGACAGTTGTTTTAGACTTCTCAGTCTGCTCCACACCCAAATGGCTGTGATGACAAAAGCACGCTCGTCCACCTGCAGCTGACCAAGAAAGATCATGCTCCTTCCACTTAATGAAGAAAGGACCAAAGTGATCCATGCATGAACCACCTTGACATCTGCAATAAATCTTCAATAATCACATCACATTATCTTAGAAAATGCTGACCACATATCCACAGATATTGTGCTGCTGTGTTCCAGTCCTTGTTTCAGTGTTCTCCATTTTCTGCAGAGTTCCTTGTTTCACACAAACCTCAACTCAGTCTCTCGTCTTAATACGCAGGATCCGCACTGGGACTGCCTCTTGTGTCCCCATGCACAACCATGACATACACTGTTTCAGCACAAAGTGAAACCGTCAGACAACAGGAGAAAGCTCATGAACGCAAATGCAGCAACTTTCTCAGCAACTGAACACACACCAGAAAACCTCAGAATAAAAGTGTACTTGCCATTTTGAAAACTGAACATAAAATTCATGCTTCTAACTCAGTTTCCTCTTGGTCAGTTATACTTGCAAAACAGATACCTCCTTTCAGGGAAGTAATATACCCATGAAATTATTCTTACTGAATGAAAGGGAGGAAAGATTCTTATTTCTATTTTACTTCATGAGAGGAGAGAACACATGCCTGCCTCTGTAAACTACAATTCTTTCAAATTTGGAAGGGAAAAAACCCAAAGATCCTAATCTGAGCCAGATACCTTACATTTACTGAAACCAGTATCTTAGGAAATCCTGTATCCCAGTTGACCACTTTTCAGAAAAGCTCCTAGAATGCAGCACAGGTTAAACAGAGTTAAGAGCTCTCTTTGCAGCGTGCTAGAATTCAGGCCTACAGTTCAGTCTTTTTCTCCCAGGAAAGAAAGTACCTACAGAAACTCTTCAGCAACAACTCTAGTAAATATCAAAGGAGAATAAATGAACCCTTAGGGTAAGGCGGAACAACATTCAGCTTCTTCAGCCAAAACAGTCATTTGTAACAGAATGTTCTTTGAGAGATAAAATTTAGAGAGAATAATCAAGGCCACAGAGAAAGCTGAAAGAACCCCAAGGAAATTCTTTTCCTTTATACATGTCCTGTGTTGAAGCAGCAATGCTAAAGACCTTCTTGATTTAACTTCTATACAGTTCCTTTGACGCTTCTAGAAATTTCAGGTTTAATGATTAAATAATCATTCAGTATCAAAGTTACCAAGATAGCAGCACAGCTGGGAGATAACAGAAACATTCTACTTGAATGAACAAGACTACTTGCTGATTGAGGTACTCACTGTGATATATTTAAATAAAACTATTCAAATTCTAAAGAAATACAAACCGGTAAAAAGCAACAAAAATTAAAAGCTACAAGTGTTAAAAAGAAACAGTGCCAGGCTTGGAATACTGTGACAAATTAATTTGAAGGTGCTACATTTAGTGTAAACACTTGTAAATCAACGTGGGGTTTCTACACTCTCAGGGGCCTTTCAGTGTGCCAACCTGCAAAGGTAAAGTTACCTACAGCCAGTAGAAGCTCTGGAAGATACCCAGTACACACAAGCCAGTATATAGATCATTCAAGTCTGGTGAATATTTTCCATCTTAGACTACCCTCAGAAGAGGCACATGCACCCAAACATCCCTTGTGCTCATCCTCAGCCCAGCAGCCCGGGTTGGCACCCCATGTTCAGGGAGCTGCTCCCTAGAGTGGCCCTGGGGGTCTTGGTGGGCAGCTCCTGACCACAAGCAATGCCCCAGCAGCAAGGAGGACCAACCATCTTCTGGGCTAGATGAACAGGAGAAGTGATCATCCCCCATTAGTCCACATTCATTAGGCCACACCTAGAATACTGGCACCACTCTGGGGGCCTCCAATACAGGAAAGCCATTGATAAACTGGAACGAGCTCAGCGAAGGGTGACCAGGATGGTTGAGCACTTGCCCTGCAAGCAGAGGCTGAAGAAGCTGGGTTTGTTTAGCCTAAAGAAAAGACAGCTTCGTGGGACCTGACAGCATCCTGATAGTACCTATGGGGAGGTCACTGAGGTTCAGTATATTGGTACATGGTGGGAAGATGACAAAGGCATGAGTTGAAAGAAGAGAGTCATAAGGAAAACTTCTCAGCATGAGGCCAGTCAGGTGGTGGAGCTGGTTGCTCAGAAAGGTGGTGCAGTCTCTCTCAGTCCTTGGAGGTTTTCAAGAACTAGCCCTCAGCAACCTGGTCTGATCTAAGAACTGGTCTGCTTTGAGCTGGAGGTTGGACTGGAGACTTCTTGAGGTTCCTTTCAACCTGAATTATTCTAAGATCCAGAAGTATTCAGTCACTGGGAAATTATCTTTTTTACTTTGAGTCCACAAGTATATTCACATTATCTGCAGTTCCAAGTTGCTCCTCTGACACCATTCATTACCTGGCAAAGGGTATTTGAAATGTTATCAAAAAGAGCAACTACAGAACCACTTCAAAAAGAGCCACAGGCAAGCTCAAGGCTTCTCTGTTATCACTGCATAAAGGACACATCTGACATCACCATCCTTGAAGATGGGTGGAAAAATTGGAGACTTTGCAGATTTTGGCCTCATCCTGTCACAAGGACAGTGTTGCAGAACCTGAAGAATAGTGACCTGCTTGCTGTGTAGACTTATCACAGAAGACTACAATGAAGCCAGATCTGGAAGTAAAATCTAGTGTGAAGTATCACAAAAATTCAGCACACCACTTGTCACAGGAGACATTGATGTTGAGCAGTTGTCCAGAAGGTAAACCTCCGATTCACAGTTAGTATAAATCAGAATTTATTGTTCCAAAGACAACAACTGGTCAAGTGAACTTTATAATCTGTGATGATACAAGACATCACTTTTAAATGCTTATATTGAGAACCAGATACACAAAGAGAAATTGATAATACAGAGAAACTGAAAAGTCTGGTTAATAACAGGATATACAGAAGAATGATCAACATACGGAAAAAATATTTCCAAATGTTTAACATGAGCAGCATCTACCTTCAGCATGTTGGTGAGCTGCAGGAACTGCAGACAGCCAAATGCATAAAAGAAAAACGCTGTCGATCGTAGCCCTGAGCACATTATTGGTGTTAATGTCCCAATGCCCCTAATGGATAAGAGGGACCAAAATTCATTATAGTTTTATAGTAAAGAAGCTTCTGCTACTGTGTAGGTCATCTGAAATTCTTATTTTGCAGCTAATGCCTTTAATTTAACCTTTTGAGGCTCACCTGAGGCTCCTCACCCTGATAAAAGCACAGAATGAAGCAAAAGGAGAAAATATTCAACATATCCAACCACAGCCTGCAAATTATTGAAGGAAACCAGGACACTGTCCTGGTGACTGAAAAGGAAAGCAGCCATCATATGACAGATTCTTAAACGTCAGCATGTTTCTACAAGCCAGAACTCTGAAACCACAACATCCTAGTGAAAACAGAACCTCGAGGCCACACTTACACGCCTACAGTACCTGGAAGAGATATTCTGGGAGCAATTTGGGCTTAAGCAAGGAGTTCTGCTAGTCAGAGAAAGCTGGATAAAGACAATGCAAGATCTCCATAAGCTGTCTTCTTTCAGAACAAACAGAATCTGATAAATCACAATTCAGAATCAGAATTATTAAAATAAACACACTTTTTTTTTTTTCTTCAGCCAGCCAGGCATTTAACATCACCAGGAATGAACAGCCTGCACCAGAGCACAGCAAGTCCTCATCCGCAAAAATATGATGTTTCCTCAGCAATTCTACTGCCAACAAAATGGCAGAAGATAGCATTTCTCCTAAGGAAGTCAACTGATTTCAGAATGACCTTATCACTGGGGAGCAACACCTGAAGCACAGGCAACTGCTGCAAAATACCCAGGCAGTCTCCATGGTTTTTAACTACAGAAATCCTACTCTAACCTTCCACAATGTGACAAGAACACTGGTCACTGCGGGACATTAAACCCCATCTCTGTAGCATGAGATGGAGAACTCCCAGCCAGAGCCACTGTCTCAAGAGAACGTAGAGGAAATAAAAAAGCTGAGCCCACATCCTGAAGTGAGACAAATGTCTACCTACTGAGGCATTCAATACTAGTGCTGGTTGAATTATAAACAAGGACTGGGTCCTCAGTATTTACATCAAGAATCCAACAATGCATCAGGTGCAGTGAATGACCATTACAATACCCACAGCTCCTTTTCCCCCTTTTGCATTTGCAAATGACCACCATCACCCCCCAACAAAGGAAGTGCCCAAGAGAACATTAATTTTCATATCCACATTCACATCCTAGGGACTGTATCACAGCCCTGTGGGTCTAAGATTATTTCTGGTGTTGAGGGATCAATGATGAGGCTGAGAGAACACAGTACTGCAGTAAGTTAAACTCACTTTCTTGAACTTTGTTGAATGAAATGCTCTGCATTGCTACTGAGAACAAGTGTCACTTCTACAGACAGTTGGCACCAGGGGATCTGACAAAGTCGTAAATCACACAGTTGCAGAACTAGAGAAAGCTGATATATGCTTAACGTCTTGGTGCATATTTGGTAAGCCAGTCGTACGGAGTCAGTGTCAACACACAAGCAGCATCCATGTCACGAGATGCTGTGGTAACTCCAGGTCCCACTGTTCTCATCTTTATCACAAGTCTGGAGAAAGAGACAGGCGCCTCCTTGAGGGAGTCATCTTAGGAACGGCATCACAACCAGTTTGGTCCCAAAGGCGCACAGAGTGGTGCTGGTCCCTGGCAGTGACCAAGAGATTCACTTCAACCTCAGACACCCAACCCAGATGAGGTCTTTGTGGCTTTTTCAGCTTCACTCCTGGGCAACACAGGCACCCGATCCCTTCGCTTGCTACGTTTGAAATAACGGCAAATAGAGCACTTATCAAGAATGCATCACTTTCTAAGCAATAAAAATACTTCACATAGGGATCAAAGATGGAATTCAAACCTCCCAAGTCTCACAGCAATACACGTAAATTATAAAGATGTTACTGCTTTAAATAAAAAGAACAGAGTACAGAATAATCCACCATGAAGAAGAAAATCTGTGTAAGCAGAAAGTGGCTCATCTCTGCAGAGTGGCTGGAGGACCAGACATGTCCCTGAGCATGATACAGCTCATGCTGTAACCCACTCCTCCCCCAAGGATGAGGGAGCATCAGGCATCGAGTACAGGTACTGCCAAGGGAAAATAATGATGTGATCTGCAGTGAGGAGGAAGATGTATACTGACACTGTCAATGCTCACTTACAATATCACCCACAGAAAGACACAATTATTTATTGATGGTAACAACACTATCTAAAATAGACATGAATTCCTACTGTTATATCCAGTAAGAAAAAGGCTTTTCATATTTTCTTTTATTCTTTTTCAAGAACAGTTCAGAATAAAGTGTTTGCTATTATGCTGTCACCACTGAAAAACCTAACGGATTAGAAAGGCACAGTACAAGAGGGAAGATAAAATTCAGTGAACTTCTAATGAAAGGAAATTTTAAGATCTTCCAGATCATATAAACCCATTCAGCATACTACATAACTCATAAGCATACTACACTGACCTTTGAAAGTTATAAATTTTAAACAATCAGGTCAAAGTTGGTAAAAAAAAAATGTATATAAAAATTACCACTCATTGCAGTTGGCACAAGAAAAGGCCCTCAGAATATTTTTAGGCCCTCATGAAGTTAAATATTATTAACATAATCCACCTGTAGGGATGAAGCCAGGTAATAACTATAGGACTATATAAGAATTATAGACACCACATAAAAGCACTGTACATACAGCATGAGCAGCCCTTGGGATCCAGAGAATGGTGGATACACCATATACAGAGCCTCCGCTCTCTCATACTGGTGCATCTGTCCCCCGCAGTCCCCAGCCATTCCTTATATCTGCAAGAATATAATAGAAAGAAAAGGCATAACAGGGCGCTTCAAGACCTGAGGGAAGATGGAAGCACATGGTTCAGGGTCTCCACTCCCTCACCCAGGTACTACGCAACAACCCTGTGCCTTCAGTTCTCTATCATGAAGAACAAACTCCTAAAGTTTAATGGCCCTAAGGGCATGGTGCAAAATGCTTATGTTTAATAGTTTTTAGAAGGCAGGGGACCACTGCTGAATGGATTACAGTTACAGGCTCTTGTTCCAATCTGTTTTGTAAAGTTTATCACTGTAATTATATATTTTAGTAAGCACAAAAGAGATAGTATGAATAAAACTGGATTTCTCAAGGAAGCAAAGATTGAAAGACTTGAAAGAAATAAGAACTCTTAAAAGCCTAAAAATAAAGTTTTCTAGTCACCAGTTTTGTTGCCTGCAAAAAGAAATTAAAATTCTAACTTATAGTCCCCAATAGCCATATCAGAGTTAAAGGGAAACAGCATACAGTTCCCAACATATCTTTGTGGCTGTAGCAGCTAAAGGATCAACAACTCAACTGGAAAACAGAATTGTACATCTTCACTGGACAGGATCCTCCACAAAAATAAGAGGACAATATGACGAATCAAACAGTGATGCTGCTCCCACTAACCGTAGGTTAAAAAAACCTCCAAAGTTCTTATACTAAACATTTGTTTAATAGAGAATGAAGTGAATGTGCATATCCCAGACGGCAGGGAACAAAGAGCTTCCATTAATTCAGCCAGCCCAGGGTTACATTATTCCCTTCTGTTAAGCCACTTACGTATGCTCCACCCACTTGCATCGATGCGCAATTTCATAACCTAATCATTAAAGTGTGTTGATTTTGTCTGCAGAAGGAAGGACAGCAGTAGCTTTAACTTTGCAGTCATAAAACCAATGCAAGGAAGTAAAACGGAGAAGTTTCATTAAAAAGGAGTAGTCATTAAAAATGGCAACATGGGGATGCAAACGCAGAGTTCCCGCTGGTACCACTTGTATGATAAATGTGCTGAGAAACCCAGTAGTTGGATGTGATTGAAACCAGCCTATAAATAGAAACAATTCCAATTGCTCAAATAAATAATGCCTTTGAAAATGATCCATCAGTCACGTCGTGTTCTGATTAAGGAGCCCTGCATGAAAAGTGGGAACGGAACAGAAACGCCCCTGAAATTTGCTTCCACTTTTGCACAACACAACTACTTGCCACCTCAGTTTCCATCCAACTGAGCACCTTCATTCTCACTGAAATCAGTGAGAGAAACTTAGCACTTCTAAAAATATGGCCTAGTCCTGCATACACAGGCTTAATAAATTCATGATAGAAAACATAACCCAAAATCAGTTTTTACTTTCGCTAAACAAGTTTTTTCTACTTAATATTTCAACCTTAATGTTGAGCATTTAACCATGAATTTTAAAAGCTCTTTTGACAGATATCTGGTCATTAAACTAAAATCACATAACACAGAAACTGATTTTGTGTCAGTATGGAGAATGTCACGGATATAACTTTGCTCAAACTCCAGACAAGAACTATACTATGGCCAGAAATGAACCACAAAATATTACATCCTAAAAATTATTTACCAGAAATTTATGGGTATGTCAGAATGATGGATATCATTGGCACTTTTTAGTAACCATAACTATATAAGTCATGTTACCTAAAGAGTTATTTAATAGAATCAACAAATTCTGAAACGCAATAAACTTCTACTTTTAATGGAAACTAAACCTAGCGTATTCACTTTAGAAAAATTTGCAATTCAAACCAAGCATTTCAAATAAACATCAGTGCACTATATAACCATTTCAAGTGTTTCTCCCCCCCAAACTGTATCACCAAAATACTAAAAAAAACCACATAACTGGTGAATCAGTGCCGCAGCAACTGGCAGAGAAAGCCAGTGAGTATCCCTGAAACCTTGTCTGCTCTTTCAGAATGACAGAAACTTTAAATGTAACACAATTTAATCCTCCTTCCCTTTGAGACCAGGTTCTCTGCAGAGATGGGAACGTGCACAGTGCAGGAACTGAGGCTGTTGCACACCCAACAAGCACTGCTGCTGGACATTTGGTGGTAGGCGCACCAGAAAGGCTTTAAACCCCTTCTAACTCTTTCTTGTTACAGTCAAGTAAGAAGCACAGGCTTCCTCTTCTAGGCCCTTACTAACCTGGTATATTGGCTACTGTAACACTGTGTTATCCCTCTCTGACTGCTTCGCTACTGTGACAGCTGCCACACCACAGGCTCTCCAATAGCCCTTTTTGGTGTTTCTCACGTCATCCTTCACACACGGATTGTGTTTCTTGAGCTGATCTACTAAAATTGTACACTTCCCCTTCCTCATTTGTCCAGCAGACCAGTTTCCTGGATGACATATGAAAGAAACCAACTGTGATGGTTTAATAAGCCCCATATTTATGCCCATATATATATTCATTATGACAAAGAATGAGGCACTCCAAACTTGTCCTTCCTACATGGTTTGGCTCCTGCAAGCAAGAAATTTAATTAGCAAAATGTACGGTCTTCACAACACGCAACAACCTATCAGTGTTGTTGGGCACTACTGGACATTGATGACAATTTAGATTCTCCTCTGTAATTACTCACCAACAAACTGATCCAAGGAGCACACCTCGGTAAAAATCTTCACGACTAGGATCTTATCTTTTTCAGTGTAATTATGCTGCACAGCAGGCGTAACTATTTATTTTTTCCTCTTTTAACTGTCTTGCATCTGAAGCATTCCTTCATACAGACCATGAAAAAATGGGATCGGCTCCACCTGATGTGACTAAAAATCCTACAGGCCAGCAGGTGAGCCTTACACAGGGAGCCATTTCTGAAATATTTTCTATAAATATATACACACAAATTTTTGTTTGCTGATGGTTGATTCTTTGATTGAGTCTATTTGTGCCTAAATCCCAAACTGATGATGGCCGACATAAGGAAGAAAAATATTTGTAACATTCAGATAAATTTATTTTCAAATTCAGAGAGATTTTCAAATTCATGTTCAGTCATTTTATAATTTTCTTACAAATTTTATTCTAAAAAGCTATGTACAGCCAGCTTTACACACACACACCCCCCACCACTGCCATGCAATGGCCAGATTCTTCTCCATTTGCCAGGTGATCAAGCACAATGGGAGGGAGCAGGACTCTTCCTGACTTACACAGTCAATGTAAAAATTGAACCAGAGGGAGACACCCTGAGTTCAACATCAGTTAAGTAGATTCCTTAATAGTCAGTTAATAATCCAATGGGACAAGTGGAAGTAAAAACAGTGCATACAGAAGGATGTCTTCAGTCCCTTACTGCAATATGCCTTGCAGTACTCCATTGTAATTTCAGGAAACACAGCTCTGTGCAGTACAAAAGCTAGCTATTCCTGCTTCGCTCTGCCACAACTGTTTGCACACAATGGTCACAACCATTCCAATTAGTTGCTGTATACAATAGTAAATCAAACAAATCTAATGCAGAAAAAGTGATGAGCTAGGACTGCAAGTATTAAAACACTGCATATAATAATAGCATGATAGCAACAGTGACCTGCCTAGCACAGTTCTAAATAAGCCCATTTGAAAGAGCCTATGTACACACTAGATTTAAAAATTTTATCTCCAATGAGTTTTCAAGAGAGAAGATTTTTTCCGTATCGTTATCTAGAAGAGAAAGCAAGATCTGAAATGAGAAAAGGGGCATTGCCTAGTGCCAAAGAGAGCAAATAGTGTTCCAAGTTAGCAACAAAACTATTGCTGAGATGTACCAATCTGCTTGGCTGGTAAGCTTATATGGACGTCCAACATAAAAGTACAAATTACTATAGGGTCACTTGTAGGACCCATTGTCAAGAAAACAAATACCTATTTCAGAGATTGCTATCTTCATTCATTAAGCTGTATTTCCTCTCATGCTTTAAACTTGTCTATATGCTCCAAACTAGACACTGGAGAAGTAGATCTGAGTGATATATGATAAAGACACATGAAGAAAGGATGCTGTGGAACAGAATATGTCATATATTTTCCATGTGAACACAAGGAAAAACTTTTTCACTGTGAGGGTGACAAAGCACTGGACCAGGCTGCCCAGAGACGTTGTGGAGTCTCCTCTGGAGACATTCAAAACCCGCCTGGATGCGTTCCCATGTGATCTTCTGTGGGTGATTCTGCTCTGGCAGGGGGGTTGGATTGGATGATCTTAAGAGGTCCTTTCCAACCCCTACCATTCTGTGATTCTGTGATGTGGCGGCAGGGAGGTGGGTGCAGGAAATAGAGAGCATTTGATGGTGAGAAAGGCTTAGGCTTGTGGTTTGACAAAGGACATTTTGTTTAAGCAGATGAGAGGAGTCCACTTGCAGCTCAAGGCATGGTGCTTCCTACAAAACATACGGAACTGACACGCAGCACTTAGGAAGCACAACATCAGGCTGCTGTTCATTTTATACAGTGTGCATAAACTGGCATCTGGTGTCTTAAACACAACAGTATTTAGCAAGGATATTTAAATATACAATTTCCCCTTTCTTTGACTCTACAGTATTTGAAAGAAGCAAATATTTGTCAAATATTAAGCCAAACTTGAAGGCCAAAGGCCAAACCATTTCTGTTATGGTGTTCTATAAGAAAACTTGCTAAGCAAAATGTTCCACAAATACTGTTATTCCATTTTGAACAACTCACTATATAAAATGTGCCTTGTGCTATTCATCTCTCATCCTCCAGAACAAATCTTCTACGGCACGAAAGTTAAACCACATGAAACCACAGATGGAATGGAGTTGTTTTGGAAAACTGATTCATGCTACAGATTCATGCTCCTCTATAGTGGAGGTAGCATACCTCCCTAATCTAAATACAAATATTGAAGAACAAAATAGCAGAGCAACCAAAGTTGAGCTTATCATAGACATAGATACAGAAATATTTTGATACGAAAACTCAGAATTACTGAG